CACCTTCATCATCATAGCTTCGGCGGCCGCAGTGGTCACCATCACCAATACAACCTAATATGCCACGGTAAGCCAACCCGCCGACCGAAGGCTGAGATAGTGGTCGCGAAATACTAACATGGGAAGTTATCCGGTTTAACTTTAGAGTGTGATACCGCCATAATTTGGGTCGTTTAGCGGCAATGCATCGCTAAATCGCACGGGTTCCCAAACTTTTGCCAGATCCCGCACTCCTAAAATCTTTTAAATATCTTCTTGCGATCCTTAAAATGGTTTCTAAGAAGACAAAAAGAAAGGCGTCATCAAATTCTAATAATAGTAAATAGTGATGACTCTTTTTTACCTGTTTACTGAATAAAAGTTTTTCAAATCGTGGTACTTTGTTGCTAATAGCAATCCACATATCTGCCTGTGCATCCAGGGGGTTTCTGAATTTTGCTTTGATTGACAAGAGGCAACTAAATCCAGAAAGATAGAAAAGTATGCCGTTGCGAAAGGGCTAAGCACAGTTAGTGCCTTTTCCCTAAGTTTTCCGAACGTATTCATCGTTCCAGACTATTGCTTTCAAAATACATTTCATGGACGCGATTTTTGCGAAATTTTAAAAGATCCTCCTTGCGTTCTTTATAATCCCACATACCGTCCAAATTGAAAGAATACGGGATTATAACCCCTGTTACCGAAGTTTTCAGTTCCCTTCCTTTAAAATACCCGTCAAATGACTTTGATGATATTTCCAAATGATCCAAAATTTCTTCACCTGCAATTGGAATCAGAGACTTATTGTTATGAGCCACTTCTTTGAGTGATGGGAAATTAAAAATATTCCTTCTTCTAACTCGTTGACACCAAATTTGTGAATTTTCTTTGGAGCCACTTGTTTTCTTGCACCATGTCATCATGCTTGCATTTTCCTCTTGGATAAATATGTTCAAGTCATTTATACGAGTGAGAATATCCCTTAACTAGGCCAATTTTTGGTTTAATTCTTGTAATTCCATTTCTCCAACCAGATCATAGTCTCGTCCACTTAGAACCACTTTAACTTCTTATCGCAGTTAAAAAAACACGTTGGAGTATTTGCCCATGACATCCAGCGGAATTTCGTATGGAAGAACCAAACTGAATGTTCGTTTCAAAACAAAACAACTTAAAGAGGCAGTGTTTCAGCTCTCGATCCCTTAACCAGTTGATAGTCTCCAGAGAAGTGTTAAAGACTTTTCAACTTTGGAGGTAGTTTTTGATGCCAGAGCGTGTCGATGAGGAAAACAGTGGGTACCTTGTAAATGCGGACTCTCTCGTTTCATCTATGCACGATTTTGGTTTGTCTCCTAACATAGAAGAGGTACCATTAATACATACAGGGTAACAATCGGGAGATGGCACCCAAAAATCCGTTACCTAGAAATAATACCTTTAACAGTGGACTCAAAC